TATATATATATATATATATATATATATATATATATATATATATATATATATATATATATATATATATGCATATGAGTGTGTGTGAGTGTATATATATATATATATATATATATATATATATATATATATATATATATATATATATATATATATATATATATATATATATATATATATATATATATATGAGTGTGTGAGTATGTGTGTGTGTGTTTGATTATTTGTTTAATTATCGATCAGGTTTTTGCAATACTAACAATCAAGCTAAGATATTAGATTTTCAGTTTTATAAGTTCACAAGAACACCTTTTTTCCCCCAAAAATATATATAAAAAGACAGCCACTTCGTCTATATAGCAATGATATACGCAAGCGATCACCATCAATTGAGATTCCCCCTGCTCGTGTTGTCCCTATACTGTGTTGGGACATTGCCCTACGTTGAGGCAAATAACCACACCCTCGGCCCAAAAGAACAAGCCTGCAACTCTGCACTAGGGAGATCAGTCTGTCTGTGCGACTTGAAACAGATCAACTGTCGGGCCAAAAATTTGCTCCGTGTACCGTACGACGTGTTTGTGACAGTAGAGACACTGTAAGTTGTAAAGTCCAGGCGATTCTAATCTAATCTAATATAAAAAGGGGGGGGGGCAGTGAGTTTTTGGTCATTTTCTGATATATTGTTATAGTTTGTAGTTTGTTCTTGGTTGGACAAAGGCTATCGAAGCTAATCCAAAAAGAAAAGCAGGCTGAAATCGGAGTCAATGGCCTCAATGGCGCATAACCAGTTGACACGTATCCTTAATTGTGTTGCAGGGGGGATCCCTTCCAACACTAAAATTAAGAACGAAGAAGAAGAAGAAGTTATAAAATGGGGTAGGGAGTGGTTGGCAAATTTTACTTATATAGTGTTATGAAAAGGGGGAGGAAGTGATTGTCTATGTTCTAATGTAATGTTATTTGATATACACGTATCAAATTATTATGGTTAGTTCAGATATAGGAAATTGACTAAAGTTCCTATTCAGGTCACCGGAAATCACTCAAAGTTTTACAAAAACACTTGCATAAGATTCTTTTACCTGTGTATGAAATTTCGTTCAGCCATTTGAAACGGTCATCATTTTAAAAAAAATATTTAGATACAGGGTTTAGTTAAAATATTGTTTTTACGAAAGGGTATGAAGTAACAAAAATTAAAATAGTTCTATAGCAAAAATAATGGCTACAATATTAATTTTTAAAATTATTTGTTTTACATTTAGAAGTCTAGAAGTAATGTTAGATAAATAGTGTTGTTTTTCTTTATTTTAAACAATGTAGGACGCTTAGTAACAACCTTATCACAGAAATTGAAAAAGATGATTTCAAGTTACTGACAAACCTAAAGGTCTTGTAAGTTACTTCTCTTTTTTTACCAACATTACAGAATAGTTTTTTTAAATGAACATAAATTGTATTTATAATTATACTCATACCTATAATATATAACTATAAGTGAAATACTGTTTCGAACATTTAGATCCGTGGCGCAGATGAAGTAAAATTAACGTACATGACCTACACACTATACCCATACCTTATACCCTTAAGCTTTATAGCCTGTACCCTATACCATATGCCCATACCCTAGGCCCTAGACCCTAAACCCTAAAACCTAAAACCTAAACCCTAAACCCTAAACCCTAAACCTTAAACCCTAAACCCTAAACCCTAAACCCTAACCCTAAACCCTAAACCCTAAACCTTAAACCCTAAACCCTAAACTCTAAACCCTTGACCCTTGACCTTGACCTAGACCAAGACCATAGACCAAGACCTTGTTATAGTTTAGCTGTAGCTGTAGCTGTGACAGTATTTCATGTACGAATTTATTTTTTCAGGTATATGTCAAGAAATAGAATATCTATTGTCCACCCCGAAGCTTTTCTAAGCCTGCATGCTATTAGTAATATGTAAGTCATGATGTTGCATCTTTCTTTATTGTTTTAAATTTCTAAATTAATATCTTCAAACACTATTTAATGATTTACCGTACCACACTAGCTTTATGTGAATATGGTAGAAAATTTATCAGATTCTGGAGTTTTTTGACAAATTGAAAATAAAGGTAAAGTACCACATACGGTCTCTGAAAAGTAAATAAACCTACGATGAGATAATGTAATGTAATTTCATGCATTAATGTGCACAATTACAAAAATTCATCTATACTCTGTAAACGAAAAAGTAAAACGGCATGTTGGTTGTATTATTACTCAACGTATCTCAAAGCTTGATTTTGGAAAGGTTCTATCGTTGTCGTTTTAATGATTGAATTAGTAACTGAACATTCAGTTCAATTTTATTTTAAATTGACGATTTACACACACACACACACACACACACACACACACACACACACACACACACACACACACACATATACATACAAACACACACACACACATATATATATATATATATATATATATATATATATATATATATATATATATATATATATATATATACAATGGCGTAGCGAGGTCGGGTATTACCCGGTGCGGCACTTAATGGTGTCACTCCCCAGAGGCGTAGCGACCCTTTAGATTCGCACCTCTTAAAAGACTATTTAACACTTGAATTAATCACTTAAATAAGTGGATTTTTTATTTTTCTCTATATATTTTGCTATTTTTTGCCTTGGTGTCACCCCTTAAATGGTGTCACCCGGTGCGGTCCGCACCCCGCCCCCCTCGCTATGCCACTATATATATATATGTATATATATATATATATATATATATATATATATATATATATATATATATATATATATATAAACAATTGCTAAAATTCGAATGTATGTCTTTATGTGTTTATAATGTAAAATATTATGATACTTATTGCATATTTCAGAATTCTTTCTTATAATCAAATTACAACTATTAGCTCAAGTAATGTAAATATTCCACCGAACCCAAAGTTGACAATGTAAGTATTATTATAAAACTGCGTTGTTCCTATTTCATGTTTTAACTTTTTATTATTATACTCTATTTCTTGCTTTATCAAGATTGTGTTCTATACAGTGGTTTTACCTAAAGTGAGTTAGGTAGCCTACTCATCCAAGCAGGGTAGACTCAAGGACTTTCTACTAATTTAAACACGGATTCGAACTAGAGACTTTTGGGTTGATAGTCTAGCGCCGTACTTATAGGCCACGCATTCCCATATAACTTTATTACACCGCAAAAAATATTTTAAATTTCTTAAATACTTTTAAGACAACTGGGAATAGTGGCAACTACGCTATCCCCTAAAATGACATGGTCACTGAAAAGGATGTATTTTCCTTCATCTTCCCCATGTGTTTTGGACATGAAAGGAAAAGTTAAGGAAAAAAATTATATTTTTAGAACTTAATTTGTATTTTAAAAAGCAATGTTAATAATATCAAGCAAATTATCTTCAAATTAATTATTGCGTTTTTTCTCTGCATAAATTTAATTAGGGCGTGCTTATTAAGCTGCTGTAGTATAGTATCCAGTTATTTAAATTTGTTAAATTTGTTTGAAAAAAGTATTTAACGATTAGTAAAAAAAATCAATTTGTTGTTTTGTGTAATAATTTAACTAGATTCTATATGCAAACGCAATTAGCCAATAACAATGGGAAAACACAAAAAAATAATCCATGAATGATAATCTGTTTATTCTGGCAAGTGACCTTAAGAATAATCTGATAAACAGCATAGAGGAGGATACGCTGTTCAATCTAGTTGGTCTACAGATGAAAATGTAAGTCTTTAAAATGTATCACGAACTTTTACAGTTTAACTGGAAATGGATATATTTTTGATTGATATATTTAAATGAAACATGCGCAGATAGATTTAGTAATGAATTTGTCCAGTTTACATTTGATTCTAAAAGTCTAAAATGGTATTTTTTTTTATTTCTTGGACAAAAAGCGAAGGAAAAAGTTTATTGTTTTGTGATTGTTTTGCGGTATGTTAAGAAAACCGAGTGATTACTATTTAGTTGCGCAATTTTATCCTATGTGTGTGTATGCGTAAAAGCGTGATTCTTTTAGTCATTGATATATAACTTATTAATGGACATTATCTAGTTGACGAGAATCCGTCAATCATTCTCGTCGACGGATAAAAAACATGCTTTTTTTTTGTTTTCGCAATCAAAGCGACCGTAAAAATAGTAAAAAAATTAAAAACTTTAGCCTGAAAATCATTCAGAATTTTAACATTTTTAGAATCAAGGTTATAAAAAAGTAACAAATCCTGACAAATGGATTTAGCCATATTTTTTTTTTACAATTTCTGTGATAAATGAAAACAATTAAATTGCGTTAGGCTTTTTTTTTTAATTTGTTTTTATTTTGCTTAGTTACCGAAAATACTCGAAACATCAATTAAATCCAATCTTGTATATGATTTTAAATATTTAATGGCCCTTTCGAATACTTCCAGGGTTATTCACGGTTGTGTAACGGTTTATCTTTTAATGTCAAAGTTCAAATCTTTTCTACATTGTATGTTTAAATACTTAAATAAAATCGTCTCTGTACAAATGCGAAAAATTTCATTCGCAACGCTTCAGCGATTATATATATATATATATATATATATATATATATATATATATATATATATATATATATATATATATATATATATATATATATATATATATATATATATATATATATATAGGCCTATATATATATATATATATATATATATATATATATATATATATATATATATATATATATATATATATATATATATATATATATATATGAAAAATTAGGGCTACACTTACCTGAATACAACATTAAACCATTACAGTTACAGTAGCTGTGTGTGTGTCAAATACGAAAATAGCTGATTAAAAGCAATTCAAACAAAACTTAAATAAAAAATCATTTTATGTTGTTTTTTTTCAGCTTCATGAAAGGTAATCCTCTGCAATGTAGTTGTGATTTATTTAGAGCAAAAAATCGTCTCGCTGCTGCCTTTAGTCCTCAGAAGATAACAGACGCTTTGTTTGAGGTGTATTGTATAAGTGGAAGCGAGTATAAACTCACAGAGGCACCAGAAAGTGTTTTTCAAAGATGTTCAGGTAGTTAAAAAAAGTTTTCACTTTTATGCATGTTAAATGATATTAAGATAAAGTACTTCTATTATATGGGACGGAGTGGTCTAGCTGTAGAGAGCTGGACTGCTAACCCGTAAGTCTGGAGTTCGAATCCGGGTTCAAGTCAGTAGACCGTCCCTGAGTCCACGCAACTCTGTTGGGTACCTAACTCATGTTAGGGAAAGTAAAGGTGGCTGGGCATAGTGCTGACCACATTATCTCTTCATATGCCGAGGTCACAGAAACAAGTGAACTCTACGTCACTTGCCCCATAGACCGTCAGGTTTGAAAGGGAAACTATTTTACTTGACTTCTATTATATACTAGACTACCCGTTATGATTGGACAACTGTGGGTTTCGGGGGTCATCCTTAAAGGAAGTCACGTTTAAATGACTGTTTAGAACCAGGATTCGAACTTGAGTCCCTTAGATAACGTAAATATATCTGAAATCCTTTTTAGCCTTTTTTTTTTTTAAATTACAGATCAGCGCCCCGGATATGTTGATTGTCGTAAATGTGACGATGCAAAAACCTACTATGCATATTCGCATTGTAAAAAAGAGCGTTGCAATAATCAAACAGTGAGCTTCATTTTTCTTTTTAGGCTCGTTTTCAAATGCTTCAGAATGAGGAGTAATGAGCAGAGGCGTAGCGACCCTTCCCGGCGCCCGGGGACAAACTTTCGATTTGCACCACCATCCCCCCTCAAACTTTTCATTTGCACCCCCCTCAAACTTTCAATTTGGCGCCCCCCCCTGAGGTCGGCGCCCGGGGACATATGCCCCCCCCCGCCCACCTTTGCTACGCCTCTGGTAATGAGGGATTATTTTTTTTTTTTTGGGCGGGTGGGGGCAATGGGTTTTGTGAGGAGCGTATGTATGAAAACTCGAAGAAATTTGTTCTGAAATGTTTATGTCAAAAATTGTCCAGTTTATTTCTGTTATTAAACAATTTGGTGGGCTGAAGTGTAGTAAGTAACACGTTCATTAAACATGTTCAGACAAACGATACATACACACAAACTGTGATCGTAAAGATGCACAAACAGAAAAAAATGCGCAATGGAAAAATGCGCACAAATATGTGAGTAAATGAATTTATTAAGATTTAATGCGACCACTTAAAGACGTTAGCAATTAATACATTTCTGTATATTGAAGCATAACAAAACATTTTTTCTTCAAGAAATATGACAAAATTAAAGTGTTTTAGTATAGTTTGAATTTGCGCATTTTTCTGTTTGCGCATTTTTCCGCTGCGCATTTTACCGTTTGCGTATTTTTCTGTGAGCATAAAACATACACATATATTTCGATTGTATTTTTTTAATTAAAATAAAAGACGGGGGTAAAATGCACATAAATTAAGACTAATGTAAAAAATTGCAGTTAAAGGACAATCAAAAATATATAATCCTAATACAATAAATTTTTACATGTATTGCTAGGGTAATTATTATATTTCTCAAAGTCTTTATTCTTGATTTAGTAGATACAAAAATGTAACATACTTTCCTATTTAAAAAGGTTTATTTTACAGGCAGCATGTCAGTTTAGTTTTACACAGAACGATAAAGGCCTTTCGATAAGTTCCTTCTGTGGAGAAGTCGAGACGTGCTATGAGGAGAAGGTGAACACACATGCCAGTTGCGAGAAAGATGCATCTAACGTCAGCTGTGTTTTCTGTTGCTTGGATTCAGATTGTATTGACAAAGCTATCCAGGGTACGATGAAGACGAGTGACACTTTGATGTCGTTGATAGGATGTGATTAAATATTTTATTTTCAGCCCAACAAATGCATTGGACCAATTGTCGTGAAAAGTGATTCCAAACTGTAGTTGCCAATATTTTTCGCTTGCCGTATTTTTTAAAGTATTTTTTTAAGCTTAGATTAATTCTATATTTTTCAAACCACTTTTCAAGCTAATAAGCCCTACTAGATATAATTGATGTTTTTGTTTTGTTTTTTTTAAACAAGAATGTTTATTATAATGTTACATTTTATTGTTATCAAAGACAATTTTGTGGACTATACAATTGATGTGATTTACAACAAAAATGGCCGATTTACTAACGAGATGAAAGAAAAATCATCAGGTTTTTATCAAACAGAGGAGGACAGAGTTGCTGCTGCAGTAAGTGTGGTCGATGTGGTAGAGATTGTGGTCGATGTGGTAGAGATTTATTTTTATGTGTTTTAGTTTTACAAGTGACAATATAAAGGTAAGTGACTGTTTCGTTGTAAAACCAAAACACATAAAAACGGACATGAAATATGACAGTAAGTGTGGTCTATGTGATACAAATTTATTTCATTGTGTTTTAATTTTACAAGTGACAATATGAAGGTAAGTGTGGTCTGAGGTGTACAGATTTCTTTCCATGTTTTTTTTTTGTTTTTACAAGTGACCATATAAAGGTAAGTTTGATCTATTTGGCACAGGTATATTTTAATGTTTCTACTTTTTCCAAGTGAGCTATTGGCCGTACTATGGATTATGGCAGTAAGGCCGGTCTGTGTTGTAAAATTTATTTTGATGTGTTTGAGTTTTACAAGGATCCAGTCGCTTATGACATAATATTATTTGTCGAATAGATTTAAAAACATGATTTTTTTTTATAGTAACTTACATTAGTGATGTAATATTAAATAACATACCCTTCACGTAGGTTTATTGCTTCTTCTTTCACACAAACCTCATTCCACTTTATATTTAACTATATTTGTTCTTTTTTATAAGATAACACCGATGATTACATCATTACCTGGTGGTGTCGATGTGTTCATTCGACGTTTTGAGTAAGTATTTCTTGGATAGTAGGTCCAGACCCATGTATATATATATATATATATATATATATATATATATATATATATATATATATATATATATATGTAATATATATATATATATATATATATATATATATATATATATATATATATATATATATATGTAAATATATACATTGGGAGAAATATATCAGTATCTCTTATTTTTTATTTTAATGCACTCGAAAGGAATTCCTTCAGACTAACTTAGCAGTAATTATCCTAACTAACCTTTCAGAGAAATTCCCGGAGCGAAGGATGAACACCACGTACGCCTAAAACTCAAAGTATCAGTTCTAAGTTCTACAAGCTTCGATACTGTGCTCAATGCCATACGACATAACATTACGTCACATTTCCTGACTCCTGGCAATTGGTTTTCCACGGAAATGATCGATACTGATTCAGTAGAAGTCATCGGTAAATATGTGTTCAATTTTCACATCAAAATAACTAAACATTTGTGTTAAGTTGACTGCAAAATGGATTGCCAATCAAATGAACAGTTTCAAATAAGATTAAAAAATAGACATGTCTTCTTCATTGCCTTTTTTTTCGGTGGGGGTGGGGGGTAATGGGGGGGGTACAAAATAAACATTCATAGCAGACGTTGTTAACACATTTAAACTGGCCATAAAACGAAAGAGACAAATCCTTAAATACGTCAGCATTAATATCTGTATATAGTTTGTGTCGAATTAATTCATTAACGGCCACTTTTTGGTTTCATTTACGCACAACTTTAGCGGCTGTTTATCACTAGACTATTCACATTTTTTTGTGTTGAAGTTACGAGTAGACTTTTTTTTTTAGAGGAAAAGCATTTAAGAAAATGTGTGTTACTTTTAGTAAGCTTTGTAAATAAATGCATGTCTAGTTCTTAAGACAAATTTAGTTTTTTAACACTATGAAATAATTTGTAAATTTGTAAAGTATGGAAAATAAAACATTACAAAATGTTTTTATGTAAAATGTCCTCAACTCGTAGACCCTAGGGTGTGCTACAACTCTACAACGATTGAACAATCCCAGACTGTATTATGGCTTGAGGCTCTTCAAGGGGAGACAAGAAATGTAATAGTACAAACTGCCCATTCGTCTTTTATTCTAACAAGGACTTGGTATGGGTCAGCTTATTTGAATTATTTCTTGATCGAAACATTATGTTTTCCAAAAATATAAATGTATAAAAAGTAACGATAAAAATAAATTATATTTATATTAATTTTGTAATCTGTTTTAAAACATTAATATTTAAAAATGTGTTCACCTACATATTAAAATTTGCCTCATCCCTCTTCGTTTTACTTGACTTTACGATTGGAATTTGTTTTCCCCAAAGTATCTCAGATGATGATGATGCGGCTATGTGGGGAGTAGTTGGCAGTGAAAAACGTACGTACATTTCTTTACTTTTTAACGAAAGAAAGGGGAACAACAGTTTCTTAACATTTTATGTTGTTGTTTTTGTTTGTTTCAACTGTAACATATATGCAAAATAATTATGTTATTAATAAGCTCTGTGATAATCAAAATTGAATACATTTTATTTGAATAAGTAATAGTTTGGGTTGTATTTTTTTAACAATATAAAATGCCGTAAGTAAAATACAAAATTGATACAGAATAAAAATGACTGTATTTTGTTTATCGTATGTGTTTAGTAGTATATTGCACAAAAGGTTGTAATGTATACTAAACAAAGATGGTGTACAGTAGATTTCGTGTTATTGTGTTATTAAATAGAAGTAAGGAGTAGAACGATTTAAAATCTTATAATATTAGATTTCGGAACATTTTAAAATGTTGACCAATTCTGAAATTCAAAATTTAAGAAGAATAAAGATATTGCTATACACAAATTAAAATAATTTTTCTGAACCTATCTGTACTTTCATTGAAAGTAATAAATTTACTGCAACTGATATTTTTTGCATTAAATTTAAAAAAATATGTGGTATGTTAGTGCAATTTAATTTTATTTTCCAACTGCTGTAAATCCTTACTCGAACATAGAATAAGCTTCATGCACTGAAAACTATGACGATTTTAAAATATTTACCCTAGTTTCTCCATTTTCGACAACGTGTAAACAAACAGTAATTTTTATTGAACACCAAAATCCACCAGATATGTATTAGATTCTATCTAATTATATGTTTCCTTCACTGGCAACTTTAAAGTTGTTCACGGATTTGTCGCAATTAAACGCAATAAGACATGTAATTAACATTTTATTTTAAAAAAAACCTTTGAAATTGCTTATCGGTTGTTTTCCAGATTTTACGTGTGCCTTATTTCAAATATTTTAGCTGTAAAAATGTTAAGCACTTTGTAAACCTCAGCGAAAGCACAGTATATTTTCTGGGCGTCCGTGGTATTTATGATTATTAAATGGAATACTTTTCAAAATAAATAACCAGTCGGTATGAGCAAACAAAATATTTTTACATTTTTTGTCGTTTTGTACTTACATTAATTTAACACAAGTGGATACACTTTTAAAATTTGTAAAAATATTTCAGCTATAACACGCACTACACTAAATATTTCTTTGAACACGCCTGCAGTTTAATGTATATTGCTTCATTATACTTCAGTTTGAAAAATGTATTTTTTTTTGTTCAAATGTACGTCGGAAATATTTTAATAGTTGGTTTTCAAATAAGTCATTACTATTTTTAAGAACTGCTAATACAAGCGGATGTAAATACATAAAACAACAATTTTACATTTAATTTTATAATGCTTGTAGTCATTTAGTTTTTTTGATGATTTGTTGTTAACCCTCATAGTAACTAATGCTTAGTTAATTTTCCACATAAAAATATATATTATTCGTTTAATTTGAAAGTTTAATTAAATTAAAAGGTGCTTTTAGAATACTTTTATGTTTTGATTTCAAATATTTATTTACTATTTATCAGGGACAGCAAATGCAGGTACATTTGTTCACAAACCATTTTATACTTTGACTTACTTGACTTAGTCCTCTTTGCTCCTTATGGAACATAGGGCCTCCACCATTTCCTTTCGTTTGGTCTGGTCTCCGGCTATTAATTTTGCTATTTTATATTTTAATTTTTATTTTATTTTAAATAGTTGTTTTTAAGTTACTCTGCATTTTGAGTGTTAACCTTATGTGCGCATGTTCAAATACATATCAATTAGATTTAAAATAAAAACAAAAAGTAAAATAAATATATACATATTTTTAGGTAGTTTAGTATTGAAAGATAACATTTTTCAAAAGCAGAACGAACCACTATAAAAAATAAATACTTGAAAAATAAATTTTTACATTTCCTATTTTATTAAACGTTTTTCTCTACTAGGCATCATAATACAAATTTTCAATATGTACATTAGTTTGGGCTTAATGGTTGTTTTTTTTTTTCACTAAGCCTCAGTAAATCTTTACACAGATGGAGGGTCTGTTTTTTTTTCATCGCGATCCATCCCCTCTCCCGTGCAAGTTTTATATATTGTAATTGTTACAAAAATATGGTTCAGTACCATAATTTTCCATGTTGGCCAAAATCAAATATGGATTTTTTGTTTTCCTCTACTTATTTAGTTACAAGTCGGAGAGCAGTTGCTTACTTGTTTTGGGCTTCAATAAAAGCTTTGAAAACTCTGTCAATAACAGCTTATTACCATAGCGTAGGAGAAAGTTATGTTGAAGTAAGCTACTTTCAATATCCCCTGCTTATAAAACAGAAATAAGTAAGTACGTATGTCAACACACACACACACAACACACACACCTACCTATATATATATATATATATATATATATATATATATATATATATATATATATATATATATATATATATATATATATATATATTTGTATATATATATTTGTATATATATATATATATATATATATATATATATATATATATATATATATATATATATATATATATAGGGATATTAATTCATGTAAATATCAATCAGGAAATAAGATATAATGCATATATTTCCTCCGACTCCCCCTCATCAATGCCACGCCAATCACCACCATTCCACACCCTCTTCGACGTTATGGAAAACATTTATTTTAAATAAAGTTACTTCAACTACTACTATTGTTCGCATCCCCCCCCCCGTTGTTCCAACAGTCCAAGCCTCCACCCCCCCCCCCCCCATATACCAAATGTTTGAAAGAAACCCTAAAAAGCAGCCTACCCATTTTTGTAATAAAATAATTATTGTTCTCATCATTTCTTCTTAGATTGTACATTATTACCAGCATAAACAGTTATTTAAGCATGTTTTTGTGGAGAAACTTACTTCAAGCAACGCACATAGGCTACAGAGATGGTAAGTTCAAAGTTATTTTATCTAAATAAATAATTCAATAACGTTTAGGATAATAGTAGGGATACGAAAACGTGTAGTAAAGGGATGTTTTGATAGGAATGGAAATTTTAAAAATGAAAGCGGCAGGATAGGGATAATTACAGGGAAAGGGATGCGGATAATATGGAGCTGGATTTGGACAATGATAAGGATAGATATGATGTAGTATGTATTCATCAACTTAAATTAAAATGCATGTTGATTTTCGTTCGTTTTTTACTTTCTCGTATATACGTAGTATAGAGAAAGTATTGTAATCGTGCAAAAAAAAATCGAGATTTTTACAAATCTCGACGTTTTACACCTCACTGATACGGAAAAACATAATTTTGCAATCTTGTCCGTATGTCTGTGTGTGTGTGTCTGTGTGTCTGTGTGTCTGTCCGTGTGTAAACACGATAACTTGAGTACCGTTACAGCTAGGTTGATGAAATTTCATATATAAGTATTATATCAAAATCGTAGATCCGTATCAACTTTTGAGCGATTTCCGATAACCGGAAGTGGTACTTTTCCTACTTTGAATTTTTCAAAAGCCTATAACTTGAGTACTATTTCAGATAGATAAATGAAATTTCATACGTAAGTAAAAGATCTAATTCTCTACCTTCTGTTAAATTTTGAGTAATTTCCGTTAATGGGAAGTACTAATTTACGCAATTTCCGATTTCTCAAAATCGCATCTAAATTTATAAAGTATTAATAATATTGCGCACCATTATGAACATCTTTATTCGGCGTTTGCTTGGTGTGCAATACTTTTTTCTATGAGATTCTATTTTATTTTAAA